ATCAAAAAAGTTCTAATGCACATGCGCATTTCAATATCATGCGAGGTCGTAAAATTGAATTACTTTTTTAAAGGGCTTTAACACTGCAACAGTTAAATCAAAAATATTAATACGCTATGTTGTTTTGTTTTATATGTTATTTTTTTATTATAATTATGATTTTGAAAAGAAAATATTTTTATTTTAATTATTATTTTATATTTTTTCTCCTACCAAGTAGTCAACATTTTTTTATCTATAATTATTTAGTTCACATTTTTACACATAATGCATTTAATTCATGGGTGCCCAGATGGACTCATACATAAAAAAAAGTGCTGGCTAACAGTGATTTGGATCAAATGGAGCGTAAAGTAAACATTAATGCATATATGAATCCGGTCGAAATGTTTGATAGGAAATACTAAAAAAAGACGAGCGAAAATATGAAAAAATTTATTAAATAGTTAGGAAAAAAAACACACAAAAAAACAGCTTAACATATAGGGTAGATTAGGGTAATTTGAGCACCTTACGCAAAAATTGGAATATTTTCAAAAACAAATATGGTGGATCCAATTGTTTTCCGAATAAACAATTTTTAGAGATCCCTTCTCATGATTCACTTAGATATTTGGGCACCCGAAACTTTTTCTTAAAAAAATAAGGCAAAACAGGCACAAAAAAAACAGGCAAAAAAAAAAAGAAAAAAAATTAGTTCATTATTTTTTCCGTAAAGAACGTTTAAAAGACATTTAAAATACAGCCCTACAGGCATTTCTTTTTAAAAGTTACGTTCTAAATGTCTTTTAAACGTTTTTTAAATGTCTTTTAAACGTTCTTTACGGAAAAACATTTCGAAAACATTTAAAAGACATTTAAAATACATTTAGAACGTAACTTTTGAAAACAAATGCTCGCTGGGAGAGGTTTTAAAAAAGTAGCAAAAGTGCTCATATTACCCAGACCACTAGGTAATATGAGCACTTTAAATTAGCTCAAAAAAAAGTTACTAAGTAAAAAATACCAACCTGACAGTTAACACAAATTTTTTGAGTATAATGATTTGTTATTATCAAACTTATCATTAAAAGATCAAACTTTAAGCCACTTTTTGTTGAAACAATACCACTACGTTTTTCGGCAAAAAAATAAGGCAAAACAGGCACAAAAAAAACAGGCAAAAAAAAAAGAAAAAAAATTAGTTCATTATTTTTTCAATTCTATTAGATCAAACCTTTGAAGGATAAAAATTTAAGTTTTTTGACTTTATATTACAGAAACATATTTAGTATTGTTATATTTATAAAATTTTTTACTATGTTTTATTTTTATTCAAAAAGCAATTGAAATCACTGCTTGTTTAGGACTTTAAACTAGGTATTTTCAATTTTTAAATGCTTTTTGAACAAAAATATAACATAGTAAAAAACTTTATAATTATAACAATACTAAATTTGTTTCTGTAATATAAATTCAAAAAACTTGTGTGTGTGTGTGTGTGTGTGTGTGTGTGTGTGTGTGTGTGTGTGTGTGCGTGTGCGGAAAACGGTGTTTATTAAACGTAGACTTTATTTAAAGATATCATTTTTGTATAATATGAGCATGTTCGAACATGCTTATATTACACAAAAACGGTTCTGTAAATAAAGCCAAAACTTAATGTTTCTATGCATTGTTTTTCAAACAAAAATGGATTGGATTTCTAGATTTTTCTTTATGAAAAAAATTAATTTCATTATTTTAGCACCAAAATTTTGTGCCGCAGATTTATTCATGCGTGATGATATTATTTTAACAACGCAAAAAATTTAACAGCGTTTTAATTAGACGATAGCCGACAATTACTGCATATAAATTGTACTGATTTCTGTTATCACCACATAAAATCGATTCAAAAAATAAAAAAGTAACTTCACTGCTTACATCTAAGAAATCTTTAAGTATGCTCATATTACCAAGGTGCTCATATTACCCTAATCTACCCTGTGCGTAAGGAAATTGTGTAATTTTTCATTGCATTGTAATGTATTATTATAATGTAATATTAGTTTTTCAGCCTTTGTAATTGGAAAAAATAGGATTTTTTAAACTATTTTTTGTCGACATCAAGTTGACAAAAAATTTTAACACAAAGATTTTACCATAAAAACAAAAAACAAGGTTGGCAAAAAATCTCAGGCCTAAGGCTCTTTTAGGTCAGCATTGCTGAATGCCAACGCTATTTCTGAGGGTTATTGTTTTTTAGTAAGACTTTTATAGTTAAAAAGTTTAAATAAATAGGCTTATAAAGATAGTAAATATAATAATCAAAGTTAAATTAAGTTAAAAATTACTGTTGAAGTTTAAAATTACTGTTGAACAAAATAATTTAATTTAAACTCGTTTTTTGTTTTATAAATTGTAGCTGTTAAGCAAGATCATTATTAATTGTTAATTTTTTTACTGATATATAATTGTACTACGACAAACAAATGCAAACAAATAAAAAAAAAAGCAGAAAAGCATTAAAACAAAAAAGCAAATAAACACTAGATACAAAAAGACGAGGCCAATTCGAAACACTCTAGTAGTGAAAAAAAAAAGTTTTTCCACCACTCTACTATAAACTTGCTTTTATGAAACAAGTTTTTAAAGCATTTAAAACTGTTGGCTTTCAGCATATAATTGAAACATTACCAGGATTGTCATATAAGATAAAAAGACAAGAGTTTTTGACAGGCAACAAGTTCACTACCTTATAAATGAAAGAGTTTGTTAAAAGCTGTTTTATTTACCTAATAACTTAAAAATCATTGTCAACTACTAAAATTTTGAATAATAACAGATTGATTTTTTGCAAAAAATCTACCATAAAAATTTGATGATGAATTTAACGGGAATCAAAATTAATGCTGTCTTTAAAGTAACTATGCTCGTAGGAGGGATCTGCGCTTAGCGTACAAAAGTGTATGGGGGCGGGGGAAATGGGTTTAATATGTTTGTTTTACTTATTTATCAGAATTAACTTATTAGTTTTGATTAAACAACAACTTTAAAAAAATAATAATAAAACTATACCGTCTCATTACAATCAAACAGTCATCTTAGAGCTTTCCAGTTAAATTATGAGCTAATTTGACGAATTTATTATTTTTTATTAAACTAGCATCATTTGGTTTATATATACACTCGATAAGTAAAAATATGTTTATCGTTAACTTTTACAGATACTCTAACTTTTTCAAGAAGATTTGTATAGAACTAATTAAATTCATAAAAGCTAAATATGTCAGCCATGTAGATAGCAACATCGCTATCTTGACGTCCGTTCTGCCGATTTTAATTTAAAGCGAGTTATTGTTTCACTAAAGTGCCTTAAGGTGGTAAAAATTACAACCAAAAATAAAATTAACAAAAATTACAAATTAACCCTAACCCTATAAAAAACAAAAATTACAATTAATTAACCTTAACCCTATAAAAAACAAAAATTACAAATTAACCCTAACCCTAACCCATCATTTAACTAAATAAAAACAAAATTATTCAGATCATTTAAAAATATATAAAAAAAAATGCAAGCCTACTGAATGCTTCTTTTTTTCTATCATTGATTACACTGGCACTTGAACAAGTAAATATAGAGAGAAATTGTTTACAGTTTTTATTTTTAGTCTGAAAATAAATATCTTAATTTAATATGTAATAAACAACGTTCTTCAAGCACAATACATTTAAACATTAGTCTAAAAATAAATGGTCAAACTTTTTTAAAACACTTACCTGCGACTAACTTAATTGTGACTAAATCATATCGATACCATCTTACTGGCACCACGCCATCCACTTTTGCTTCTTCCGATTAACATTTATTAGCTAAGCAGCTGCAATTGTATATTTATTTTAGTATATATATATATATATATATATATATATATATATATATATATATATATATATATATATATATATATATATATATATATATATATATATATTTATATTATTTATATTTTACATAATATATTATTTTATTATATAAATTATGAAATAAACCCGCTTACCGAATAAAGTTAATTTTTAATTAAATTTCCTTTGCAAAAACTTTTCACATAAAAGTTATATAAAAGTATTTTGAGAACAAAAAACGGGCCAATCAGATGCGTAAGAGTGTTGGTGAAAATCCAGGAATCTCAAATTATTTAAAATCACAGATCTATATCAACAAGTCTAAAACCACGCGTGGTTTAAAGGAGGAGATTAAACATTGCAAGCCACATTTATGCAGAACAGTCATGGAAAAATTGGACAAACAAGTACGTATGTGTATACACATACGCACTCGTTTTACCATATATAGAAAGTTGTGGCAGTTACTTGCCCAATGTGTAATTCTATAAATAACCCTATCCTATGTACTTTATGATCCAATAAAAAAAATTACAATCAAAAGAATAAAAACTGTGTTTTCTATTTAATTCAAATCTTCCGTTAATTTTGGGATACCCTTTACAATAACTTTATTAATGCACTTTATTACCTGCCACTTAATAAAATTGTACATTATTTTACTATTTATGAGTTAATGCAGTTTGTTTTAATTTTTTAGGTATAAATAAATAATAAGCTGCTTACTATTTGAAGTATCAGTCAAGATAATAATTAAAGCTAAAAAAAATAGTCTGAAAAAGAGCTTTAACTATATAATAATAGTACAAATTGTTAATGTAGCTGTGTTCATATACACGCTTATATTTTTTTAGTGCAACAATTTAAAAATTTTTGAAAAAGTTGCCTTGGGGCCACTAATAACTAAAGCCTGCGAGAATAATAACTAAATAACTAAAGCCTGCGAGACCTTCACTACGCTACAGCGGATATTCGAGTACTATATCACCCTAGAAGAATAATTACTCTTTTAGCAATATAGTCGAAAGATCAAAGTTCTCCTTTTTTTTCTTCTAAAAAATTACTTTTAATAGGAGGAATTAATTGAAATGAGTCTATGTGATCAAAGTAAAGGTAAAGTATGGTCCGTTAAGATTCGGGCCAAAATGAATTAGTCCACAGTGCTTTATTGAGGTCCGGGGGCGATTCGCTGGATAACCATAGTTTTATGTATATACAAAAATTGTTTATACTTTTGTGAAGTTATTTGATTAACTCATGTCTAAAGCAAATTACTTTTTTTACAAGGTAAAAGTGTATGTAAGGTTGATAATTGTGTATACAATGTATTTGACATCTATGAATGTGAATTAGTTAAAACAAATTATAAAAATGTATATTTAGTATTTAAATATATTTTTTAATTTGTAAATTTTTTAACTTATAAAAATATATGTACAAATATAGTATGTGCCATTTATTATGTGTATATTACATATAACGTAGGAGATTATATGTATTTTACATATATATCATTAACTTACACAGCATTCCCTAAATTTAGATATTTTATTTGTTTTAACTAATTCAATGATATAACTCTATTTTGTAATAACTTTAATAATATTTAGTTAGATTTAATAATAAAAGTAATTTAACTTAAACTCTATGAAAATTTAAACATTTTTCAGGAGAGAAAAGTTTCATTATTTATAAGCATTTGCGTTTTTTAATAATTGTTTATCATTCGTTATGCATAGAATAATAAAAATATTATCGAATTATAACTTTAAGAAAATAGTAATATTATGACATAAAACTCATAATATTACCATTTTCTTAAAGTTATATTACTCAGGACAATTTTTTAACTTAAATCAGTTGCAAGTGAGCAGTTATAAAAGTTGCCTGCATTTTCTAATGCAGAATCCGCACACTCAGAAAGTATAAAATCATAATCTAAACTAGTTTCGATTATGAAGTAAAAAATCTTTTAAAAGGTCATTCATAAATTTCAAAATGAGTGAACGCAAGAAAAGAAAATAAGTAGCTAGGGTTTCCAAAAAACTGCTTTTTTTTTTTCACAGTTATCACAAAAATCACAGTTAAATACAGTTTTTGAAAAAAAATGTATTTAACTGTGATTTTTGGTTTTTCTTGTTAAGTAATGAAACTTATGTAAGTTTATCTTGCATTGTTTATTAAATAAGTTATTTAAACAAGTTTCAAAATAAAACTTATAATGACTTATTTTTATTGTAAAAGTATTTCAGCTCGAAAAAATGCGTTTGACTTTCTGTTGATGTAGGTTTTATAGAGAGAATCACATTGTAAATTTTTTTCAAGATTTTATGTTCTTTTTCCTGTGGTTCAGTACAACAAAAATGCTTGCTTAAGCTTTTTGAATTGATCAGTAGATTTGGGAAACTATGTGATGATAGAGGTATTCCATGAGAAAGTGGGACAAATTTTTAAGGTTTGTAACCCACCATCTCAGATTTCCTTCATACTTTGTAAAAATGGTCACCTATATAACATTGTCTAACTTGCAAACTTTTAGCACTAATATCAAAGGGGTTTTGGAGATAACGTTACTTTAAAATCAGCTATTTTTTGCAGTTTTTTTTGTTCGGCGGCCATTTTGATTTTACTATAGTTTTCGTTTTACGAGTTACTGTTTAACTAAACATGTAATTAAGCTGAAAATTAGCACCTTTATAGTTTTTAGGACGAGGAATCGGAATATAATATTTGTTTTTAATGAAAATAATTTGAAGTTTATTAATATTGGGATTGTACTTCACCTTTAGCTATTTTTGAAATTTTAACAAAAGCGAAAAAGAGGTCTGGTAACCATGGTAGCATTAATTTAAAAAAAAAAAAAATTTTGTTTTTATTAAATTAGATATATTAAAGAGTGTTTTGGTACAAAATTGAAAGGTGGGTTTTTTGAGGATTTTAAAAAATAATTTAATGAATTATAATGAAAAAGTACATTTGGATATTACTTATTAAGAAATTTCTTATTTTGAAAACTTCCATTATAAGAAAAAAAAACCATTAACAAAAGTTAAAATGAAAAATTCATAATAGATGTAATATATTAAGTTAAAATAATCAAACAAATACAAGCTTTAAATAAAAAACTAGTCGATAAAAAACCAGAACTTGCATCTGAATAATTCATAAATTGCTTATATAAGAAAACTGTTGTAATATGATTAAGTTAATTTAAAAATTGAATTTTATGCAAATCATCTGTGTCTATCTGGTATATGCGCCCTGATCTTGAATATGATGGTTTTTTTATCATAGTTAAAATATGGGGCTTAGGAACCCAACAACAATCATCTCTATTTGGCCAGTGTAACGAAGTGTTATGTAAATGAGGATGCATGAATTTTACAAGGGCATCTTCATTTCTTTCATCAACTTCAAATACCAAACCAACCCAGTTAAACATATCATATTTGCATATAATATTTTTCTACAATGATTTCTTGAAGATATTGAATTGAGCCAGTAAGGTTGAATGTTAGATTAAACTCCTCCTGCTCAGAGACTCTTTTGACATTTATGCTTGTTGCATCCTGTGTAATAATTTGGTGGAAACTTCTTGTACCAGGTAAAGTCTTTGCATTATTCAATCGGAGAGTCAGAGATTTACGAACTGATAAAATATCTTCACCTTTTAAAAAAAAGAAGTGGATGCCAAATATGTTATCTTTTGAAAAATCAAACATTTCTTCAGCGCTCTGAATTTGTAAGTCAATTGGATGTTGAAGACTAGCATTTGAAACAAGTCTTTTAACTGTTCCACCTATGCCATCACATGGTGACTTTCCATGTGATGTTGCAAAGAAATTCCATTCACATTGCATCCCAAAATCTTCAACATGAGATATATATTTAAAAAATGTTTGCAATTTTTGTACTGACCAGCACAACCATCAGAGAAATAGTGGATTTTTATGGTATTGGAAACATTTCTTGTACAAATGGGACAGTTCTTTTTACTATACAATAAATAAATCCAACATCATGTGTTAAGTCATTAGATATAAAGCATAAAGACGTTGGTTGACTTTTAGTAGAATCCTCATCATTTTTGTTATAAATAACTACAGGATGTAGTGTGCATTGCTGTTGGTTCCAGTGGTAACTCTGGATTTCATCTTGTACGATAAATTTAAAGTTTTCTGCAAAGTCAACTAAAATAATAATTTCATTTATGGGCATAGATGACTTTAATGTTTTTAAATATTTACTTTGTGATTTAGCAATAAAAGAGTGAGATGTTATGCTATCAAGTTTTCCACTAAGACTTTCAATGAAGCCACTTATTGTAGATGTGTTACTTAGAAGCTCTGCTCTATCTGTTGTACTCCATCGTTTGTATTCAATTGTTTCATCTTCATCCACTTTGCCATTCTCTTCAAATGATCCTTCATTTTGCAATAGATTTGCAGTCATATAATTTATAATATTTTGAAATCCAGGGCATTGATTACATCTATGGACCATGCATTCCCTTGACTCTCTGCTACAAACAATCTTCTCAATAAGTTCATGGTAATTCTTCTCCAGTTTAACTGCGCTAAGCATAAGCTTTAGGTTTTGGTGTTTTGCGCATATACAAACAGCATGGGTTCCTTTTTGACCAGCATAAATACACCATTTTGGCTTTAACTGAGCAAATTTAGAAAATCCAATTTTGGATTGAGGGTGTTCTAGTTTGAATTCAATAAATAATTCCTTTAAATTGCAAAGAAGTAATCGCTTTGATACATGTTTATTTTTGGATACACTTACAAAATCTTTTATACCTGGTAACTGCTTACTAAATTGATCATTACAATAGAAGCTTTCCACCTTATTAATGATATCTGATTCAATTCTAACAATGTTAGTTTTTTCTGGAAGTGTTAATATCCCTTTTTCAAATTTAAGTTTTCTTGCTTTAGTTATGGTTGATTTTGATATATTAAATAGTTCAGCTGCTTTCCTTAAACAGTTCAGCTGCTTTCCTTAAAGACCATGAATCTGGAACCAATGTTAAAATCTGAATCTTTTCTCTTCTATTTGCTGTTTTCAGCTTTTCTTGCATTGAAAGTATCAATTTATCTAGATCTTCATCTTTCTTCTGATTTTCAACATTGGGCTCCCCAGTCACATCATTTTTCAGGTCTGTTGCATTAACATTGAGGATAACTGATAGCTTTTTTGACATAACATCAGTAGCTTGCATTAATTTTCTTTTTCCTAGAGAAATTTTAGCATGTTGTGGAACCCCATGAAATTTTACTGGCGATACATCTAATTTATCAAAACTGGTGTTTATAAGTTATTTTTCTTGTGCCATTTCTATATCTTCATCAAAAAATGTTTGTTCCAGAAAATCATCTTCTTTGTGGTCCTGTAAGGTAGACCAATTATCTATTTTTTTTACCACTTCTTTTCGACATGAAAGACACATTTTAAAACCAGGTGTTGTTTTAATACCAATTGAACACATATCTTTTGCCAGTTGAATATCAATTTCTCGCAAACCACCTATAAATATATTATAAATGAATAAAATTTGCCAAAATTAGGAAATATTAATTTAGATAATATAATAATGTTAGGAATAAAATAAAAAAATTAAAATTTTTTAAACTAATTGAAAGTGTACTAAATGTATTTTTTGTAAAAAGACAGCACAATAAGTTAAAAACGTAAAGATTTACCATTTATATTAGTTTTATGCTTTTTAAATGGGTCGATGCAATTTTTTTGGGAGTTAGCAAACCGGTTAAGTAAAATTTGTTCATGATGTAAACAGATTTTAACATTAACATTTAATATTGATAGCCCAGATCTCCATAATAATAAATTTCTATCTTTCTCTGAATAGCTTGATAAATCTTTCAATCCAATTGATTTTGTGTACACCATTTTATGACATTGATCATTTGATAAAATACCAACTGTACATAAAATCTTGTTCATTTTATTTTTTTCAATTTTTTGTTAAGCTATAAATAAACACAAAATACACAGACATATTTAATACATTTTAATACATTTATTAAAAATGGAAAAAATATTTACCATTTATAATCAGTATTTTTAAATATGTACAATATATAGTATTTTATGTATTTATTTTTTTAACTTTGATTTTATAATTTTTTTTTTAAATTAATGATTAACTATAGAGAACAAACAACAGCTGGTAAAACATCAGACTAATCAGACTAAGTGTTAGGGTTTTAAATATTGAGTTTTTCTTCTGTTTTAGTCAAATATGACATAATATGTCATTAATTAGAAAGCAAAAATTTATTTAAAAAAGAAGTATTCATTTGAATTAAAGTTTCTTTAAAAAATAGTTAAAAAGGATTTCTTTAGTATAATAGTTTTGATATCTAATGAAAATTGTAAATGTCAATTAATTTAAAATAAAATTATGAACACAGACCTATAATACTTATTTTTTCACATAATACTCCTATATTTTTACCAAAAATTTCAAAAAACCCACCTCTTCATTTTGCACCAAAAAACTCATTAGAATATCTATTTTAATAAAAACAAAAAAAAATCACAAAAAAATAATGCTACCATGGTTACCAGACCTCCTTTTTGCCTTTGTTAAAATTTCAAAAATTTCTGTAGGTGAAGTATAATCGCCATATTGATATAGTTCTAAATATTCTCATTAAAAACAAATATTATATTCTGATTCCTCGTCCTAAAAACTATAATGGGGCTCATTTTCAGCTTAATTACAAAGTAACAATAACTCCAAAACCCCTTTGATATCAGTGCTATAATTTTGCAAGGTAATCTATGTTATATAGATAAACATTTTTACAAAGTTTGAAGAAAATCTGAGATGGTGGGTTACATACCTTTCTCATGGAATACCCCGATATCTTTATTGAGAATTGCATTTAATTCATCTTAAAGAGACATAGGTGATCTTTCCAATGTTATACATGATGCTTCAGCTAGTAGTGGTTTCTCATCATTAGTCCAATCCAAAAAGCTTAAATGCAAGTTTTCCAGCAAAATTTAAAGTATTTTTTAATGGAACAACTGAAGAATCTTTTAGACACCTTACAACTTCGTAACATTTCTGTTAATACTTTCATCAAGTTGGTTTTCTAAATTTGAATGCAATAAAGATGCAATTTCTGTATTCATAGCAAATAGTTTTGGAAGCATGAATTCAAGAACAGTATCTGCTGCCAATAGCATAGCATCTGCTCTGCTATGAAATTCCACTGCTAGTTTTGCTGGCTCTAAAGCAGCACGTAATGAAGCTAATGACTCAGAATCTAACATGTTGATTGTATCAAGAGCATTTAATTCAGCAAATATCTGGAATAAACATTTCTTAGTTTCTAACAAAGGTGCAGCCATGAAAAAAGTGAATTTAAACGATGGCGAATATCTAGACGCAGTTCAATTTCTTTACCAAATTCCTCAGTAATTTTTTTCTGAAAAATTTTATTATGAATTGATTCATTATATTTTTAGAGTAATCAACATTAATCTTATTGTTTACTGATTCAAAACTAAAATTATTGTAAATTCCATGTTCATCCTTTTATGAATCACAATCCATTTCCTTGGGAATTGGTATGTTTGTGTCGTTATTTTTCTTGTATAAGATGAGATAAATTTCATGATTAAAGCAAAACTGATCAATAATGTCCATTAGTTGCATAAGCTTCTTGTTGATTGCTGTACCATCTTGAGCTGAACCTACTACATCTCCTTCCATACATACACCAAATGAATTCAAATGATACTTAACATTTTGAAACAGGAACCATAATCTTAATGAGGCTAGTATTATAAATTTTCTTTCATTCATTTTCATGCAGGTTGACACCATTAAACAAAACACCATCGGTAGCTAGATCAGCTACAATTTTAATTTTTTTTGGAGCTGCTACTTGATTCTCCAGTCGAAGGGCTATCGATAGAAATTCCATGGCGCAAAATATGATTCTGCAAAGTAGTTGTTGATCCACTGGAGCGTGTTACAACTAAGCCTTATCTATTACAGATGTCTTCAGTGTCTCTTGAATTTGGAATTTTATGCTAGGTAATAAATCTCCAAACTGATAACATATTTTAATATTTTAAAAAAAGTTAAATTTATACTTTAAACTTTATATTCAAATATATTTGCGTGTTTTTTTCGTTATTCAAACTTTTTTTTTGGAATGCTTAAATAATTTTGAAAATGGAAAGATGAGTTAAGCTTTCCAACAAAATACAATCTAAATAATAAAATGAAAATTTAATTACTTTTAAAATTGTTTTTTTTACTTTTCTATAAAAAACAAAAATTAAAAATGACATTATACATAAAAATCGCCTAAACCCTTTTTGAAAACAGACGGTTTTTATTTATATTGGTTTTGACAAAAAACCATGGTTTTTGGTTATTGGTTAAAACCGATTGGAAACCATATAAGGAGCTGAAAAAAATTTACCTAATTTGAATTCAAATATTTTCAGGTTTTATCAGTTTTTAACCCGTTTCTATTTGATTTTGAACTCGTTTCTATTGATTTCAAGCCTTACTCCGCCCCTGAATACATACATTGTACAACCACTATAAATCAAAAGAAATTTACTTAAACCTTTTTGTTAACTGAAACAGGCATTACTTGAGTCAGTAAAGCAAATCACATTTTTTTTACTTTTAAAGTATTGGAGGTCACATGATTGTTTTAAAATGTAAACAAAAATTTACGCATAAATCTAGAAAAATTTTTTGCAACCAGCTAAGTTTGAAAACATATTTGATAACATAGCTAGAGGTTCAGAAATTTATTTTTTAATTTTCATATTCATAAAAGGTTGAAATTTTAATAATTCTACAGACTTAACAAAAGTATTAGGTTATTTATTCAAAATAAATAAAAACAAAATTATTTATTATATGTAAACTTTTGACATCAAGCTTACTTTTATAACAAATTGTAAAAACATCGCAAAAATTGGTTGCTTTTCCGATCTAAACCCAATGTTGATCTAATCTATAGGGATCAACGTTGATCCAATATTTTTAGATCAACGTTGACCAAATGTGTATAACCCCATATTGATCCAATGTTGATCAACTGTGTATAACCCCATATTGATCCAATGGATTAGTGTTGATCCAATGTTTACAACCCAACATTAATCCAATGTGTATGGATTAACGTTGGATTATCTACATTGGATCAATGTTGCTCCATATACATTGGAATAATGTTGGATTATATAGAGTAAATCAATGTGTTTGCATCGAGATAAAGCAGGTACACAATTATAAATTTGTATAATTTTTAGAAATTATTTTTCCTAATGTGATTTAAATAAGTTTAAACACATGTTGATTCATCAAAGTGGATGAAATATATATGTATAAGTACATTTATACAATTGTATATGCGTGTAATGCAACGCATAACATTGTTCTAACGTTTTATCACCGCATGTATGCTAGCTGAGTATGTAATAAGAACACTAATAAAACTAGGAAACATGGAAGTTTATAGAAATATTTATATCAATTTTGATTTAACAATGAAAAACAACATTAAAAAATATTTTTAAAGCAATATTAAAAATTTAATGATAAATATTAAAAATGAATCAAAAACATTCAGTTCAAAAACTCTTAATTCAAATGTCACATTAAATTGTTCACCAAAACAAAGATCAACCAAATTAGAAAATAAAAATTAAATTGGTTTAATAATTGGTAAACCAAGTTATACATTGAATGATACACCAAAAGACAGATCTGATGAGGCCTTGGTTGAAATGTCAATGGGCATCTCAGATGGTATACTAACTGATACAATAGGAAGTACGTCTAATGATTTATTTTGGGAGGCATCAGTTAAATTGTCTAATGGTTCATCAATATGTTAAATAAATGGGGTAACATATCATTAATCAAAATTGATACCTAGCTTCAAAAAAACACTAAAAAACAAGCTACCTAAAAGTCACATTAAACTTTGGTACATCAATGCAACTTCACTTAATAATAAATTACAGCAACTTAAAGTGCCCTTTTTTATAATAAACCACATATTATATTAGTGAGTGAAATGTGGTTCAATGATAAATGGGTCATTCCATGCCAAGTGAACCAGGGTCCAACATGAACCCTCTCAGATTTTGATGAAACATGGTTGGTTGGTTTATACCAATGAGAAAAGCAATTCCTAAAAATTTCAGTTTACAATCTTTTGTGGTTCATGAGATATCGCAATTTGAAATTTCTAATTTTTCCAAAAATTTAAACTTTGTTAGCAAAAACATACTTCGAAGCTCTGTAATTAAAAAACGTAATTTCAGAAAACCTTCTAGTTTTTTTTTATTATATACAACTGTAGGCTTACTTTGTTAAAACCTTGACATTGAATTTTTTAATTTCACATTTTATCCATAATGGCTACCTAAAAAACCTAAAAAATTGTTTGCAGGTATAAAAAGTTGATTTTTGATGGGTCAATATACAAAATTAGCAACTTAAGAAGTGAAAAGACATATCTTTTTAGTTTCTATATATAGTAGGCTTCCTAATTTTTAAAAAACTGCTGATAAGATACGATTCAGTAAGAAATAATGGACTCCTAAAAATGGCTCCGGGAAAACTTTGAAAATTGTGCCTTCCCTTTAAACCACCGGTAACCTAGGATCAACACTGATTTTCATAGTAAATTTTTTTTACTGATTTAACAGACTTAAATAAAATGATTTCAGAAAAAAAATTAGTGGGTACTCATGGGGAAGAGACAATGTCAGAACAATGAAGTTGGCACAAAATGCATTAAAAACAATAAAAATATAGATATTGATGTATTTTAGTTTTCATTACCTGCTGCGATGCAAAAAAAAAATATATATATATAAAAGTATATCATAATCATTACTAGAAATAAGCTATAAGCTAAGACTGAATTAAACTCAGTTTTTAAATAACCTTAGTTGCCTCCCCTCCCCCTATCCATTTACTTTTTAACATGCATATTTTTGCACAGAATATTCTCATCATATGAAGAACTTTTTGCTTAATTAATTTTAATAATTAGTTATAGAACATTTTACCTTAAGCAGTGTGTCATATAAAAGCTGTGACATTTAGTTAGTAAAGTTAGATAAAGCATATAAAAGTAGCACATTAGGTAAATAAATAAAATAAAACTTTGTTTTATTCTTACTATCTGCCCAACACATATTTGTTTTCATATCACTTATTTTCTTACTATTTCATATTCTGACTATAAATTTTGTATAGATTGAATCTATACAAAATTTATAGTCAGAATATGAAATAGTAAGAAATTATTATTAAATATATATATATATATATATATATATATATATATATATATATATATATATATATATATATATATATATATATATATATATATATATATATATATATATATATATATATATATATATATATATATATATATTTGAAGGGGCCCTTTTTGAAAATTAAAATTATGATATAGGTGTTTTTTATTTATTTATAATATTAAAACTTCGTATTAACGTTTGCTTATTTTTTCAAATTCGGTAAACCTATCAAAATGATGCATGTATTGACATGCATACAATGATGATTGTATTGACTGGCGAATACAAAGGAGGGGGTGGGGATTAGCCCCCAAAGAACTATCAAACTTTACATTTTTATTAATAAAAATTAAAAAAAAGAAAGGAAAATTAAAAAAATGCTGTTTTAAAGTTATACACACATTTAATATATATACCGTATAATCTCTCTAATTCGAATCTCCTTAATTTGAAAACCTCCATAAATCGATTAAATGCAAAGTCACCGTGAAATACCCTTATGTGAAAAAAACTTTCTGTAATTCTAAAATCACTCTAATTCGATTTTTTATTTTCCCCATTTTTGTTCGAATTAGAGAGATTGTACTGTATATATTTGCCAATATATAAACATTGCAAATGATCAAATGAAATAGTTGTTTAACCTAAAAAATAGGGCCCTTTTTTTTGTTTTTGTTCCGACTATCCTCCATTAGGACCAATCAGTGATCTGGATCCGCCATTGATTGTATTGCTGAGTTAGTGGACGTTTTATTTTAGTAAAACTTTCGTTTAGAAAGTTTTGTTTTTGTTTAGCTTAGTTTAAGTTAAATCTTACGAAAAATATGATTTGTATTACTAAATTAGTCTACGCAGCGCAAAGATACAGCTGCCGATTTTTAATTTAAAAAGCAATCTTTTATTCAAAAGATTGCCTGCCCAGGCCAAAACCCTCCTTCTATGTATGTACGTTCCACTACACCAATCCTTAGATAGTCAGTTGATGTATACACACTCCACTTCGCCAATTTCTAGATAGTCAGTAGACGTGTGTACACTAAATTGTGTTTACCCTTATATCAGTATACAAGTATATATTTGCAACCTATAAAAAGAAACAATCAGATTTTGCTACTTGCTGAATTCCGATTGGTTCATTAATAGTCACAATGACTATTAGTGACTTTAGGCACAAAAATTAAAGCAACAGTACCGTTGCGCTAGACACAGCGTTTAGTTAAATTACAAAACATCAAGTTATTATTTAATTCCAATTTTTTTTTTTTCTTCTTACTTTTTAATTTTATCGATAAAACTTTAAAGGTTGACAGTTCTTAGGGGGTGCTGGTGGGGCGGTGAGGAAGGAGTGATTTTAAAAACAAATTACCCCCTCCTAAACCGGGGGACGGGCTTGACGTGTTACAAGGGCCCAAAATTTTTTTTTGGGGGGGAGCCTACCAACTGTCTGGCACGGCACTGATATATATATATATATATATATATATATATATATATATATATATATATATATATATATATATATATATATATATATATATATATATATATATATATATATATAATATTTAGATTTAAAATGGCAAATGAGGTAGTTGCCTCCAAGGATAAAAATGTGCTGGCAGTTTCAGGTCCAGTTTACACAACAAATACCAAAATCAAGCAGAAGATATTGGATGAAGAGGAATATTTAACTGTAAGTTTACCAATTTGTAGAGGTATACAGTAATTATTCATAAGAATTTGTTTCTGATAAACTCTGGGTAAAAAAGAATAATAAAAAATTTTAGGATTCTTATTATAAGCTTTTGAAATTTTCAAATATATTTTATTTACATATTTTTATTATTTATATATTTTATTTATTTTATTTTAATTACAAATTTATTTTTTTAGGACTAAATTATTTTAAAGTTGTTCTTTCAACTATATACATAATTTACCTCTAAAAATTATTAATCTATACCTGGAACTCTAATGTCTTGATTGCGATTTTTTAGTATGTTTTTATTGTGTAATAGTATTCTGTTTATAATAGAAATTAATTTATCATTCTAAATACCAATAGTCATACAATTCATGGTCGATATTTTTCCAAGAATTCAATGTCAATGAAAAACTAAAGTGCAAGAAAAAAAGATAAATCAAAATTCAAATCAATATAATGTTTATCAGAAGGACCTGTTAATTATCATTTTATTAATTGCAGTTATGAGAGTTACTACTTTTTAAAATTCTTTAATTTTGATGTAAGAGATAAAATTTTGTTTGAAAACAGTTTGTATATCAACAAAAAACACAGAAAAGTTCTTTCAAGGACTTTTAGTTTTAATGAACAAGTTATTTGTATTCCTAGATATTAATATTTTTGATGGATTACCATAGTTTACTATCTTTGTCTATCATAGTTTATTATGTTTGCTTTTGAAATAATTATAAAGTATCAAATTACTAAATCACAATCTTGTTAATATTATTTATTGATTAGTATAGATGTGTGGGGAGGAGGGACCAACACAAAACAAAAGCCCACACCTTTTAGAAAGGTATACTGATACTCCTTTAACATTCAAAGTAGACAACAACAAACCCATATTTATTCTTCTTTGCTCACTTTCCTCCCACAACCCTATACCTAAATTTGCCACATTGAAATATGGGGGTGGCAGACAAGTGGGTGGATGGCATGTAGTGATACATGCAGTCCTCAGTTTCTTCTACTATAGTTGTTCCCTTTATGTCAAAATTTGAAATTGATTCTATTACGAAACACTTTTTTTGTTTACACAATTTTAATCTTAAATTTTTAAGACGGAAAAAAGTAGTTATTATATAATTATTAGGTTTGTATGTCTTTGTCAATGGATGGTATAACAGGCTTAAATAGTCAAATAAAAAGTTTTACATTTTTCTTTTTTGCGTCCTTTATATATTGCTACATTGACAAAATATGTTGACATTTATTTATATTTTGTTAATGTAGCAATTTGTATAGTAAATAAATTTTTGATATATATAATAATAAAAATTTTGTAATATATAATAATAAAAAAAGTAATAATAAAAAATGTTTACAAAACAAATTGCAACAGTATAAAAAATTCTATAAATTAAAAAAAAAAATCCTGAAATTATAGCACAAACTTCTAGGAATATTCTCAGTTTTTGTTAACTTAAAATAAAAAAACATTAGATTTATGCTACATATAATTTCTTATTTACAATTACATATAAAATTATTGTATTACTTACATAGCTTATTACATGTTAGCTTTTTTATCTGCATCCCATTTGTGAGGTTAAAATCAACTATTTAAAAGTTAATATATACCAACAAAGTAAATATAAAATTTTTGTGTGTGTGTATTAGCAATGTACAAATTAAATAAGCTCTTTAGATACTCGAAAAAATAGTTGAGAGAGATTTTTATCCTGAGCTAACCAAGTTAAAACTTCGTTTACACTATCTTAATGCATTGGAGACCGATGATGTTGAAAAACTTAGAGAAATTCAGCTTCAGCTGGAAAGAGAAACACCTTGTGCTGAAAGAAGTATGGAAACTAAGTATTAAGTAGTTGTTTTTAAGTATAAAAAATTTTTGTACAAGAGAACAGGTTTTAATAAATAGTTTTTTTTTATGTTATGTTAATAAATATTTGAAGTTAAATTATAAAGTAGAATAAAATCATTTAAAAAAAAAGAGGGAAAAGAGGAGGGGGATTAGAAGATTAGTGATCCTATGCTTTTCTAATCAAAAATTTTGAATTTAAAGTCGCATTCAAATAATACACTTCTTATAACATTTGTTAAATCAGCAAAAAAAAAATTTAAGCAAAATTAACAAAAATTTGTTGTTATTTGTTTACCGCTACAACAAAAAAGTTTTTAGTTAAAATATTTTATACTTTATCTGACATATTTATACAAGAAAAAACTCAAAATTTGCATAAATTTCAATATTATTTACTATTAGTAGCAAAATTACTGTTAAACAATAGTAAACAGTTTTATATGCAAAACTTTTTTTAGATTTTTTAAAACACAGTATACTTATGAATACTTATGAATTTTAAAACACAGTATACTTATTAATACTTTGATAGAGATTATATACAAACATATGTAATGATATTATACACTTTAACAAATGTAAAGATTTTTAAAAAAGCTAAAAACATTTGAAAAATTGGAAATTTGTTGCGTATGTGTCATGATTAAGATACTTATGTTATTTTAGTTTTACATTTCAAGTTTTTTTTTCAACTAAGTTGAGTTTGCCAGGAAAATGAGTATACAACATGTTTATATATAGAATATAAAATCTATAGAACTATAATGTTGTTTAGTTTTGCATTTTTAATAACAGAAATTAAAAAAAAAAGCAAGCTTATGATTTGAACTTGCCACTTCACGACTTTAACTTTTTCTAAAACAACAAGGGAGTTTAAAAAGTATGTTTTTAATAAGAACTCAATTAAAAAATCTAATTTTATATTTAAATTATATCATTTTATTAAATTTATTATTTTTAAAAATAGTTGAAATTTTAATTTATTCAATATTGATATAATAAGGAAATTTAGAGTTTTACAGTTATATTACCACGCCCCCATTAAACATTCTAAACCGCAGCAACAACAGAATATAGATAATCATCAAATAGCATTATACTCCATTATTTTTTGGCTTAACTTTTAGATTAGGGATTGTCAAAACAAAAATAATAAAAAGTTTTCTCTCGCAGAGTCATCAGTTAAATAAAAAATCAAAACAGCTCATAAAGTTTATCGCCACCTAAAAGAACTTAAGATCTCCTTCTTTTTTTAAAATAAATTTAGCGTTGCTTAATTTATAGTTGATCCCTTAGCATTTTATAGTCTATATTTTTTAATGGTCTAAGATCTTCTTAGTTCTGCCATTTGTATAGCGTTGCATACAAACGTCTTTAAGTGCAAACATCTTGAGCATAGTTTGCAGTATATGAAACAATCGTGTATAATAAATCTATAAAAATGAGAAAACTTGAATTTTAGTTTAACAGTTAAATTTTTTTGCTATATTTTTTTTTTTTGAATAATTATTATAGATATATACTATAATGACGTATTGCTATACATACAGCAAGATTGATAAATATTCCAAATTTTTTAGGGGAGGTCTTTACTAGAAATGGTAGGTTTAGTAAAGACCCATATTTTATGGGTCTTAAAAGCTAGGATATATGTATATATATGAGGAAAAAGTATAGAAAAAGTCAGTGTAGAATAGACTTACAAAGGCCCGTATTTTTACTGGTCAGATCAGCTAGTATGTAAATGAATTACAACAACATTATTTTTACATTATTTTATTTGTTTTTTGTAACTAACTGCTTAAATTGTTCAGATATGTTGAACGTATGACCTGATATTATTGTGGGTTTAGAAATTATGTATATATCTTCGGAGTTTAGCATCCTGCACTCATTATTTCTCATTGGGCAAAATTAATTTTTAACTATTTTATGTGGATGCATAAATCTGACTTTAATATCCACCAAAATTCAACATATAATCATGCATATGATCCATGTTTATGAAATCTCTTTATTATTTTTGTTTTTTGGAATAAAATAAAATACTTCAGTATGTGTATTCATACTTGTTTTTTTTTATAACTTATTGTATTTGAACTTAAACAAATAAAATGATGATACATCAATGTACCAGGAGTTCTTCTGCCATCTAAGTATATTTATTTTTTTAATTTAGTTAATGTTGTCAGTTTCTTCCCTTAAAAATAACTTAAAACAAATTATAGTTATTTTGGTTTTACAAAAAGAGTATATTAAAATAAGATCCAAAATATGCCCATTCATTACTTGTTTTAGACTTTCTTGACAAACTGCTCTTTTAACAGTGCCACCAATACCATCACTGGGGGATTACCTATGGCTGGTAGCAAAAAATACCCATTCAGCATTTTAAATAAAGTCTCTTCTGCAAGCACAAAATTGATAAAGTTTTTTAAGTTTTCAAATTGTGCCACACAGCCATCAGAAAAATACTTCACACATAATATATCTGGTAGATTTCCTTTGATATATTTAGTTATATCTTCTTGAATCTTATAAACAAACCCTGTGTCGTGATCTTCTAAAAGGTAACAAAAAGATTTTTGTTTGAGAAATGTTTTTCTTGAAAATAAGGTATAATTTTAAAAAGTGAACATCGATTTTTGCTCCAGTGATAACTTTGAACTCATCCTCAACAACAAATTTATAATATTAAGCAAAATCTCTTAACATTGAACATTCATTTTGGTTTATATTTTCTTTACAATTTTTTAAGAATCTACTTTGTGTTTTTGCTATAAATGAATCTGTGTTTAGGTTGTCAATGCTGTCACATAAGAAATCATTATAGCGGCATTGATTGTAACAGTAGCGTCATACCGTCAGTACTCTGCCGTTTCTTGAATGCTACATTTCTTCTAGCTCATGGTCTATAAACTCATGCACTAAACAATTTTTTAATACTTGAATTCCAGGGCATAGCTTACATCAGTATAGCATACACTTCGCATTTTCAAAAGCACAAACAATTAAATTTTGATCCCCCTAATTGCATCAATTAAAAATTCTTAATTTTGTATTTTTAAATTCTTCAAACAAAAATCTAATTTGGTTCAAAATTTTTGGAAAATCCCCTAAGCCGTTAGCAAGATATTATATGTCAAAGTTGCTTTGTTGTCTCTTTCCCAAAAATGCTGAATTAGCATTATTTCAATTGACGATATCATAACAACCCATGTATATTTTAAGCTAAAATTTTCACAGTTATTATTTATTTAACATGAACTGCAAATAATGTGAAAATTAAGGAGTTCTAAGACATAAGGGTGACATGGTCTGAATGATTTATAGGGAAAAACCCTAGATGGATGAAGTTTTGTTTAACCTGATGCGATGGATAAAATTTTTATTAACCTAGGTTTTTTAAGCAACTTCAGTACTTTGATTAGTAAAAACTAGAATAATAATCTAATCTGAAAAAGATTTGAACAGCAAATATTCAAATTTGGTTAATGGCTAATTTATCGTCTTCACTCAAAAAGGTTTTCTCAAACAAAAATTTACACTTTGTACTTGATGCAAATGATCAAGATAACAGAGAAGATAATGTTGAGGATGATAAATTGATAGAGTTGGAAGTTAAGAACAATATGATGTCTACTATTATTCCAAAAATGAAAATGCACTTAAAAATAATGGTGATCAATCGGGAGCTGTTTTTTTTTTTTTTTACTATTTCTGTTTTGTCATCATTTAACGATATTTGTAGTAAAAGCTTTTCTGTGTCAATAACTTTATTAGTTGCAGAAACTAATTGTTGTTCAGGGCTATTTTATGTTGCCAAACCAGATAACTATTTTCTGTGGGAGGAAACTAGTGTTGCAGAAATTTAAACCTTTATTGCTATCATTTTACTAATTTTTGTTATTTATAAACTCTAACTCAGTATGTATTGGTTGAAGGATGCATTGTACTATATTCAAATTTTTTAGAAGTGATGAGTTGAATTTGTTTTTATTTGTTATTGAATTTTTTCAATTTCAATAACAATGAAGATGAAAATTATGTTTTATCTGATGAAAACAGAGATTGTCTTTTTAAAGTCATTTACTAATCATTAGCATTCTATGTAACTAATTCAAAACTGTTTATAAACCAGGAAAATTTTTGTGTTGATGAGTCACTTATCCTTTATAAAAGTAGTTTACATTTCTATCAATATATGAAAACCATTTCTGCTAATTTTGGTATTCTATTGTATGAACAACTTCAGAACAAATAATACTAGAGTTCTTTGTATATTGAGGGAAAGAAATGTTTGCTAATGATGACACAAATGATCAGATGCCTTCATCAGCAAGAGTACTATATGTGCTGATGAAACCTTTTATTGGTCACACTCTTTACACTGACTATTACATGCTTAATGAGATTTTAGGAAAAGGAGATTCCATTTTTTATAAAAATAGTTTGTCACCGTAAATGCAAATTTAAATGCATATTTTTGCAAAATATGTTTTTAGACTTTTTCGGTCATTATCCATACAAAACAGAGTAATAGTTTCAAAAAAGTTGAGAAAGTGCAAAGCTAATATAAGACAAATAGAAGGGAAAATAAATTAAAAATTTTTTTTTCAAATTGTTTTACGGATTTTGTATTTTGTATCGATTTTGTAAATATGACCTAGATGATCCCTTCACTTTAACAGACAGTAATGTTGATTAATATGACCAGGAACCATTGGATGATCTTTTTTACAGGTAATAATTGGTTTTAGAAGACAATGTTTAGTTTTAGAAGTTTTTAGAAGACAACAGACAAGCATTTTCATGGATTTAAACTATTAAATATGTGCATGATTTTCTATTAAGTAAAAACATTTTTTTTCAATTTTCAGACTCTTTGATGTTGCATAAACTTATCAGATGTAAACAAAACTACACACTCAGATGAAAAAAACTAATTATGTAGTAATTACTAATTATATATGCATCGTTAAAAAAATGCTACAAATGATGTTTATTTTAAGAAAATTGAAATCCAAATTATTAAAATTGAACATCCAAACTTTTAATTGATCATGTTGATTCTCAAGTAAAAATTTTAAATGAAATAATCAGTACATTTTTAAAAATATTTGTACAAAAGTAGTTTAATTTTTTTTTTTTCAGTTTTTGATTAATAATAGGTTTGTTTAATATTTTATTTATATTTATGTAGTTTTAGTTTACATACATATTTCTAGTTTAACTTAAAAATAATTGTAGTAATGGAAAGTTAAATAGTTGGAGCTTTCTATTTTTGCTAGTTTTTTCTAAAAAGATCCTCCTAAACTTGTTTTGGCTTGATTGGTTGAACTCAAACGCTGTTAATCATGCTTTTGGCGTATTATAAAAAGAAATAAACCATATATAATATGTCAAAGGTGTTAATATATAAGTAGGATACGTTGCTTTAAGTTAAAATCAAAGATGGTTTATGGTTAAAAGTGATTGTGGATAAACAGACGTTCAATAAAAGTTAAAGCTTAAATTTATACCATACAGATAGTCTAGTTTATTGTCTTGGAATGATGAGAATTGTTGGCTCAATCAAGGCTGAATATGTTGTTAAATTAAATAAGACAAATCTTGATTTTGATTTAAAACCTGATAATCATATTTTTAGAATTGGTAAAAATAAAATGTAATGAAAAAAGCTAAAAAAAATTTTCATTAAAATAAAATGTAATGAAAAAATTGTCTCAAATAACTATCCAACTATGTCTTGAACAATTCTTTTGGTATTTTCTATTCACTACCTTCTGGAATTCACTTCCAAAAGGTAGATTGTTTAGATTAAACATTGATATCAATAATTAAAATTATTGATATCAATGTTCTAGAAAGGATATTATTTGGTACAAATGTTTTAAGTAGAAGAGATAAAATTTGTAAAAGTACTTACAGTAATACCAAGAGATTGTATTTTTATCATCTTAAGGGAGCATCTACAGTTATATGTGAAGCCTACAATGTTAAAATCAAAGAATTTTACATAAAAGAGTTTACAAAACCTTGACATTTCCTACCACAAAATTAGAAAATAGTCAAGTTTAATAATGATCCTAATAACAAATAAGGCTTCCTCAAATGTTTTGTCTTGCGTCAGAAAATAAATAGGTGCTTTTGATGATTAAAATGGCTGTCCATAAATGCCTAAAAAATCTCTTTACTATCATCATTAGTTAATTAAAAAAAATGTTTTATGCTATTAAATTTTTAAATACCAAGTTAAAAAAGTTTAGTGTTAAAATAATTGACACATGTTTTTTTATCTGTAGTTATTACTAACAGTACTCATAGTAGTATTATATTAAAATAATATTTGATTGTTAAAAAATTACTCAAGTTAACTAAGTAATTAAAAAAAAATTATTCAAATTCATTTATTAAACCTATCTACGACATTATGCATAATAATTAAAGTTTGACTAAAACTATTTCACTGTTTCTTTAATTGAATTAGTTTTTGAATTAATTGGATTACAAATATACTTTTAAAAATGTTTAAACTTAGTATTATCA